CCTAGTATACTCCCTAAACTTCCCCTCCAAAAACAATTCTTACCCTTGCCACCCCCAAAATTCCTACTCCCAACACAAATCCCCCCTCCACTCCTCACGGTGCCCCCCGCCACCTCACATGATACCTCAGTGCCCAGGGCGGCCACCCCACCTGCCCCTATTTCCTTTTCCAAATGGTCTTGGAGCTCACATCATATCCATTTAGCTGGTTAAAGGAAGTTTGCCCTATGATACATTCAGAGACAAGTGAAATATGAAAATGTTATTTGCCATAAAACAGATATAATGTTCTGGTGAGACAAAATTCTATTAAAGGCAGATAACCGATTCTAAATTGGCAAGAGCCTTGATTGCTTTGAGGTTAAACCAGACTGTGTACATACTGCAGTTTGCTGCACGCTTTATTTAAAACCCCCTTTTGTGTGTCGGCCTGCAGAAGGACATGCATGGTCATAATCCGTGCCTCCAGCACATCTGTATATATGAAGACAGAAATGTGATCCGTTCCAGCTTGCTAGGAGTTTAACTGAGGTTGAGGAGTAACACGATAGGAAATTGACTTGTTTAAACCAGCGGTTCTGCCTCAGACCTATTCATCTGATCCCGGAGCATCCCTGAGTGCAGGAATAGGGTGGAGCTCTTCGATCTGCGGTATGGAATCCCAAACTTTATATTACATGATTCATCACACCTTGAATAATATGGAAAATATTTTAGCGCACTTTTAAAGAAAAAAAAAAAAGAAACAATTAAAGGATAACCCAACTCCACCTGTGACATAGGGAGCAGGAGCGGACATTTGCATCTAATCTAGCTATGATCCATAGTCTAGCCCAGCAATGGGCAAACTACGGCCCGCAGGCCGTATACGGCCAGGCGGACCTTTTAATCCGGCCCGCGGAGCGTGATAAAAAAAAAAAAAACAGCCAGGGCAGGCAAACATTGGCTGTTAGGATGTGTGTAGGCGGGGCAGCGTGACGAACGTGAGGGGAGCTAGGCTCCTCTCACAGTCCGCCCTGAAGACCGGAACGGCGCGGGAACACGGCGAGAGGAACGCGCGGAGCAAAGGTAAGTGAATTGACACAGGGGGGACTTGGCTTACTACTTGGGGGGGAATAGTACTATGGGGGATGAAATACTATATGAGGGATGAATTAATATGGGGGATGAATTAATATGGGGAATGAATTACTATAGGGGGGATGAATTACTATAGGGGGGATGAATTACTATATGGGGGATGAATTACTATGGGGGATGAATTACTATATGGGGGGATGAATTACTATGGGGGATGAATTACTATATGGGGTATTAATTACTATGCTTACTATGGGGGAATATTACTATACTTACTATGGATGGCATAGTAGTGGCTGGGCCGGCCAGCAGCTAGTGGGGGGCATAAAAGTTTTGTAAAATAACTCTTTTTATGATTTTCTACCTTAAATTAATCTAAACATTTAATGTTACAAACTTTAATTTAATTTATATTAATTCACACATACACATCATTCATCTACTCTTGGTCCGGCCCCCGGGTCCAATATATGAACCATTGCGGCCCTCAAGTCAAAACGTTTGCTCACCCCTGGTCTAGCCAGAACCTTCTTGGCCAGTAGTAGGCTGAGAATACAGAAAGGGCTTGACACCATATATTACATGATTCTTCACACCTTGAATGTATAATATGGCAAATATTTTAGCACACTTTTAAAGAAAAAAAAAAGAAACAATTAAAGGATAACCCAACACCAGCTGTGACATAGGGAGCAGGAGTGGACATTTGCATCTAATCTAGCTATGATCCATAGTCTAGCCAGAACCTTCTTGGCCAGTAGTAGGCTGAGAATACAGAAAGGGCTTGACACCATTGTGTAATAAGCAGTAGTTTCAGACGGGTTTCCAAACTATGGCCTGCTACAAGATTTCACCCGGATTGCAGCAAGTTGTTCTGTATTTACGTCCGGCATTTTCATAGTGTGGTTGAGTTGACCGCCAGCACCATAACAACCAATGACGCTGAGCGTCCAGGAAACATGGCGGCATTCATTGCTATTGTGCTGGTAGCCGCACTATGGAAACATATGATACTGATTTAGGGCAATGGCATCCAGGGTCACCTCATCATTCAGAAAAGACCTGCTCCGCCTCCTGTCCTCCATCCATACTTGCTCCACCTCCAGCACCTGTGGGCTCTCATGTGAATGGGGGGCTATGAAGTGAAGGTTGCAATCTGATGTGGAAGAGGGCTCTGGTGGAGAGGGCTTTGAGGTGAAGGGGGGGGGCCTCTGATTTGAAGGGAGTACTCTAATGTAAAAGGGAGACTCTGTTGTGAGAGGGGGCTTCTGGTGTGAAAATCGGACTCTGATGTGAAAGGGGGCTATAAAATTATGAGGGGCTTCTTAAGTGAAGGTGCCTCTGATATGAAAGGGGGGGGGGGCTCTGATGTGAAGGGAGACTCTGATGTAAAAGGGGGTTGTGATGTGAAGGAGTCTCTGATATGAAAGGGTGCTCTGATGAGAGAAGAGACTTTGATTTGATAGGAGTACTCTGATGTGAAAGGGGGGCTCTGATCTGAAGGGGGACTTTAATTTGATAAAAGTACTCAGATATGAGGGGGGATTTTGATTTGATGGGAGTACTCTGATGTGAAAGGGGGGTTCTGATGTGAAGGGGGACTTTACTTTGATAAAAGTACTCTGATATGAGGGGGGACTTTTATTTGATGGGAGTACTCTGATGTGAAAGGGGGGCTCTGATGTGAAGGGGGACTTTACTTTGATAAAAGTACTCTGATATGAGGGGGGACTTTGATTTGATGGGAGTATTCTGATGTGAAAGGGGGGGTTCTGATGTGAAGGGGGACTTTAATTGATAAAAGTACTCTGATATGAGGGGGGACTTTGATTTGATGAGAGTACTCTGATGTTAAAGGGGGGTTCTGATGTGAAGGGGGACTTTACTTTGATAAAAGTACTCTGATATGAGGGGGGACTTTGATTTGATGGGAGTACTCTGATGTGAAAGGGGGGGGTTCTGATGTGAAGGGGGACTTTACTTTGATAAAAGTACTCTGATATGAGGGGGGACTTTGATTTGATGGGAGTACTCTGATGTGAAAGGGGGGTTTTGATGTGAAGGGGGACTTTAATTTGATAAAAGTACTCTGATATGAGGGGGGACTTTGATTTGATGGGAGTATTCTGATGTGAAAGGGGGAATCTGATGTGACGGGAGACTTTACTTTGATAAAAGTACTCTGATATGAGGGGGGACTTTGATTTGATGGGAGTACTCTGATGTGAAAGGGGGGTTCTGATGTGAAGGGAGACTTTACTTTGATAAAAGTACTCTGATATGAGGGAGGATTGATTTGATGGGAGTATTCTGATGTAAAGGGGGACTTTGATTTGATGGGAGTACTCTGATATGAGGGGGGACTTTGATTTGATGTGAGTACTCTGATGTGAAGGGGGACTTTGAATTGTAGGGATTACTCTGATGTGAATTCTAATTATACAGCACCGACAGTTTGTACAGCACTTTACAATATAAAGGGAGACCATGCAATTACAATGAGGGCTTCTGAAGTGAAGGGAGACTCTGATGTGAAATGGAGGACTTTTGATGTGATGTAGGGCTTCTGATGAGAAGTTATTCCTTACATCGTGTTTATTCATTCATTTCAACTCTATTATTTCATTTATAAAACAGATTTTTTTCAGCCTAAGAACATCTGTAAAATATACAATGTGGCCGCATACTGAAAAGTTTAGGCCTTTCCCGCTGCGCCTCCTGCTTCTAAATGCTGGGAGGCGGAGGTGAGCCTTTGGGTCATGTGACGCTGTGATTGGCTGTCACATTAACAGAAAGCTCCCCATTGTAAGCATGTATTGGGAGCTTTCCGGCCCCCACTGGTAACTGCGCTGGGGGTGCGCTCTCAGCACAGAGAGAAATGTGTACAAAGGACCGAATATATGCGGCCTGTCTGTGTTAAATCCCATCCGCCAGGAGGATATGCATATAAGTGTATCTTCAATAGGAAGAGGTTAACCGCTTCTGCACCGCCCTATAGCAGAGATACTGCTACAGGGGGCACAGGTGTGCGAAATCATGTATATATACGTGATTGTGCAGTTCCGGGTGGCCAGTTTGAATTGTTTTTGATCATTCAGTTCATCTTGCTTACATTTTCTGTTAGGGGGTCCTACCCACACTGCCATTCATGGCCTCGGCTGTCAATCACCGGGTCCCGGACGGTGATTTCTTGCCTACACCCGGTGATCGCCAAGTATCTCCGACGGGGGAGAGGCCTGTGTATAAACAACACAGATCTTTCCCTGTCAGCTCTTGCACATTGCATAGCAGAGCCATATAAAGCAGTGTGCCCAGTGAAACACAGCCTCCTAGTAAAACAGCACACAGTTAACCCTTTAATCGCCCACATGTTAACCCCTTCCTGCCCAGTTCCATTAGTACAGTGTCAGTGCTTTTTATTAGCACTGATCTCTGTATTGCTATCACTGGGGACACCAAGACAGTTCCCCCCCAGCGTCAGAATGCCCGCCGCAGTCCCGCAATAAGCCGCTAATTACTGCCATTACTAGTGAAAAAAAAAAAAATTCCAGTATATATACCGCCATTTGTAAATGCTATAGCTTTCATGTAAACCAATGAATTTACATGTATTGGGATTTTTTCTTTTGTAGCAAATACATTTTGGTGTAAATTTCTGACGAAATTAGATTTTTTAATTTTTTTACTGGACATGTTTAATAGCAAAAAGTCAAAAATATTGTTTTTTTTCTCAAAATTGTTGGTCTTTTTTTATTTATAGTGCAAAAAATTAGAAACGCACAGGCGATTAAATAACACCGAAAGAAAGCTCTGTTTGTGAGGAAAAAAGGACGTAAATTTAATTTGGGTGCAACGCTGCATGACCGTGTAATTGTCAGTTAAAGTAACACAGCGCAAAAAATGGACTGGTCAGGAAGGGGGGTAAATCCTCTGGAGGGCAAGTGGTTAAAGACCCCTAGTTTAGAAGATGATCAGAAAGCAGGGGTGGACTGACAACTCATGGGGCCCCCGGGCAATAGGGGATCATGGGGCCCCTGTGTCCTTGCCCACACTCAAAGCACACCCAAAAAAGCCTATAACAAAGGTACCAGGGGCATTTCGTGGGGCCCCCTACTGACCCCGGACCCTCAGGAAGTGCCCGAGTGCTCGAATGGTCAGTCCGCCCCTGTCAGAGAGTTTTAGTGAAAGTGATTCTAAAGGCTGAAGGTTTTTTTACCTTCATGCATTCTATGCATGAAGGTAAAAAAAACCTCACTATGCAGCTCTCCGCCAATATTTACCTGAACCTGATCTCAATCCAGCGATTTGTACAAGAGCAACTGCTCTCCTGGCTCTCTGCTTCCTCATTAGCTCAGATCCAGCAGTGGGAGCCATTGGCTGTCAATCACAGCCAATGAGGAGGAAGCAGGGGTGAGGCTGTGCCCCGTTCCATGTGTCTTATGGAGACACAGAATGGAGCTTGGGATCGGGCACGCACAATTGCCCCCAGAGCACGCAGCTTATTAAAGAGGCAGTCAACGACGGGGGAGGAGCAAGGAATGCTGGCAGGGGACCCAAGAAGAGGAGGATCGGGGCTGCTCTGTGCAAAACCATTACACAGAGCAAGCAAGTAGCATGTTCGTTTTTTAAAAAAATTGTTTTCATTTTAAAAAAATTACCTTTACAACTGTATAGGTGGTGTAAAGGTGGGGGTGGTATATAAAATTTTGGACCACACCATGCAAAGTCCATCTTCACTTCAGTAGAATACCTGATCCTCCAACATCACCTTCCAGTATACTTTGTAATATTAAAACCTCAATGCTGGTGAATGGCACGGTTCACTTCATGTAATTAGCCAGCCTATTATGTCAATATGACTTTGCATTTCAGTAACAGGCTATTCTGCCGGAGATTATGATCAGCATGCAGGAGAGACACTAATCTGATTATCAGTTCCCTAGCAACAGATTCCCCTTCATCTGCAGTGTTGGTTCTAGTCCCCCATCGTCATGCCTCCAGATATTTCATTTGCTGAATCACAGGTGTCTATTTATCACAGAACGTCAGCCGTAGAACCGGGCACAACAAAGCTACCGGGAGATGTGTCACAGTGGGGAGGAATTGGATTCCGCTTCTGCTACACCAGACGTGGTTCAATGGCTTCGTAAATGAGGGTCTATTGTCTGGGTCTATATTTCCCCCATGTAAAAATAGAACGCACCAGCATCAGTAGAGAAAACAGAATTTACAGCATTAAGGCTGCATTCACACTTGAGCGTTTGTAGCTTGAAGCTAGAAGCTCCAAAAAAGCTCAAACTTTAAAAAATCAATTGTTCTCTATGGTGCCTGTTCACACCTGATCACGCAAAAAGGCACCATAGAGAACAATTGATTGTTTTAAGTTTGAGCTTTTTTGGAGCTTCGAGCTACAAAACGCTCAAGTGTGAATGCAGCCTAAGAAACAGAGCATTGTGTGCCTGTTCCCCATATAAACTGCAATGCATGGCTGCATTAATCAGCAGTGTAATAATAAAAAAACATCAAACAGCGCAAATAAATTATACAATAAATATAATAAAAGAAAAAAAATAATCCAAAAAAACTTATAATAAATAAATGAAAAATATATAAAAATTATGCACTGTTTGATGTGTTTTTATTATTTTTATTGTGTTTCCACTTATGTGCAGCAGCATTTATTTAGGAATTATTGCACAATTTTTTTGGCGCTGGTGATTTTTTGTATATATTAATCAACAATAGCTTGTGGCTGAATTTTCCATATTGTTGTATCGTGAGGAGCGAAGCTGGTGGGGAGTTTGCAAACACTGAACGTAACGTCATCCACCATGGAAGTCTATGGAAGCCAAATCCTGTTATTTTTTCCTGGCCTGTTTCAAAGATAATTTGCAAGATTTTGTTTTAAAAAATGGCCTGGTCAGCTATACACTGCCATGGGGGACATGTACCAAAGTACAAAAACATCGCAGAAGGAAAAGGGTCATTTAATGAAGCTCAAAGGGCAACATTAAAATAAACAAACCCTTTGACCAGTTTGCCTCAAGAGCAATTTATTTTTTTTCATTTTTACATACATGTAAAAATCTGCATTTTTGGATCTAAAATTACCTTAAAGGATAAGTTCACCTTTGGAACATATTCCACCCGTTTTTAGGCGCCCTGCCTTCCTCTGACAGTACAGGGAGAAGTTCCTCCCATACTATCTGTCAAATTTGAAAACATCCTTGCTGTCCGGGGCTCCACCCACACAGCTGTGTCATTCATTCACGGACTTCCATGAATGAATGAACTACAAGTCCCGACAGCTGTTGGCTTGTAGTTTTCAATGAACTACCACAGTAGTTCATTGAAGCTTCCTGTTAGAATATCTGCTTGACCATACATCCCGTATGGCAAGCAGATATACTGACAGGTCTCCAGGAGACCTGCATGGCACCAGTGGTCTACTGATTGATGGTGTAATGCTTTCCAGGCTCATTTGGACAAAAATAATAAATGCATATTTTTTTCCCTGCAAAAACATGTGCATTTATTATTTTTGTCCACAAAGGTCCTTTAAAGTGATACTAAAGGCATTTTGCTAAAATTGAAATAGTAAACGTTATACTCACCTTCTCTGTGAGTGGCCCTGATCCTCTTCTTCCAGGGTCCCCTGCTGGGCGATCCTAGCTCCTCCTCTTCTTTTTGTGTCCCCATAGCAAGCCGTTTGCCGACAAATAGAAACATAGAAAAGTGGTGGCAGAAAAAGACCGAGTGGTCCATCGAGTCTCCCCTTTTTGTTGTGTGAGCATAGATCTATGCTTGTCCAAAGACATGTTTGAAGCTATTTACTGTTGACTGGCTCACTACCTCTGCTGGAAGTTTATTCCAGGCATCAACTACTCTTTCAGTAAAATAGTACTTTCTGAGATTAGTTGTGAACATTGCCATGTTGAAAATACTGTCCGCCTGAACCTTATTCACCCCCTTGATGTATTTAAAGGTTTCAATCATGTCTCCCCCTTCTCTTCTTTCCTCCAAACTGTACATGTTAAGATCCTGAAGTCGCTTTTGATATGTTATATCCCCTAGACCTTTCACCATTTTATTTACCCATCTCTGGACTCGTTCTATCTTATCAATATATTTTGCTGCATGCTTGCTCCTGACCTGTGTGTCTATGGAGCTGCACTCCATAGACACACACAGTTGGACTTAGCCCCACCGCCCACTTCCTCTTAACTGAGCTTGATTGACAGCAGCAAGAGCCAATGGTTCCTGCTGCTGTTCGAGTCCCTGTGTGAAGAGTAAGTGAGGGGAAAAGAGATGCAGTCATGCAGAGTGCTGATCTCTTCTCCCCTCTCTTCCCCTTCACACAGGGAAGGGGGAGCACAGGGAACGTAAAAATGTTTTTTAACTTAACTGCTTCCTGACTGCCCTATAACAGAAATACTGCTACAGGGCGGCACGGGTTCGCAAAATCACATATATATATTTCCAGGTAGGAGGTGTGCACAAGCCTACCTACCTGTGCTGTCATTCACAGCCGCGGCTGTCAATCACCAGGTCCTGGCCAGTGATTACTCGCCTGCGCCCTGTGATTTCCAAGGATCTCTGATGGGGAGGAGAACTGTTTTGTTTACTAACAGTTCTCCCTGTCAGATTGGGCACACTGCTTTGAATGGCTGTGTTTAGTACAGTGTACAGTGTCAGTGCTTTTTTTTAGCATTGATCACTGTATTGGTGTCACTGGGGATTTCAGTGTCAGAATGTCTGCCGCAGTCCCGCTAAAAGTCGCTGATTGCCGCCATTACTAGTAAATTTTTTTTTAAATCCCAGTATATATACCGCCATTTGTAAATGCTATAACTTTCACTTACACCAATTAATTTACACGTATTGGGATTATTTTTAGCAAAGACATGTAACGGAATACATTTTGGCGTAAATTTATGCCGAAATTAATTTTTAAAATTTTTTTACTGGACATGTTTAATAGCAAAAAGTCAAAAATATTGTTTTTTTTCTCTACATTGTCAGTCTTTTTTTATAGTCCAAAAATAAAAAAAACGCACAGGCAATCAAATAACACCAAAAAAAAAAGCTCAATTTGTGGGAAAAAAGGATGTAAATTTCATTTGGGTGCAGCGTTGCATGACCACGCAATTGTCAGTTAAAGTAACGCAGTGCTGTAACGCAAAAAATGGCCTAGTCAGGAAGGGGGTAAATCCTCTGGAGGGCAAGTGGTTAATGCAAGCAGTGCATTAAGGTAAAAAAAAAAATTTAGGTCTGCTATCACTTTAAAGGCGAAGTTCACCTTTTGAAAAAAAAAAAAAAGCAATAAATGCAAATTTTTTTGCTTTTATTATTATTTTTTTTCTAAGGAGCCTGCAGAGCAGTGCACCCGCAATCAGCCGATCACAGGTGCAGTGTCAGGTTCCTGCAGACTCTCAGGATAGCTGTCTGCCCATACCTTCCGTAGGGGCAGGCAGTTACTTCACAGCAGGAAGATCAATGGACTACGAGAGCGCACAGTAGAGCCCTCGTAGTTCATTGAGAACTACAAGCCATCAGCTGCAATGGCTGACAGTACTTAGGCCGACCATACATTGGTCAAAATTCGAACGATTTTTCATCCGAAAATCGGACCTAAGAATAATCGGCCAATTTTTGTGGTTCCTCCTCTTTTCGGTGATTGGGCATGTTGGAAATTCGTGAAAAACGACCGACGTTTGACTCGATGGTCAAATAGTATGATCGTTTTTCCGAACCGTTTTTCTGGATGGAACAGAAATTTCACCTGTTATATGGGGTGAACTTTATGACTTGGTCGGCTGATTTTCGAAATCTTTGATGGCACCATCGGATTACCAAGCGAACGTTTGCGATTTTCGGATGAAAAATCGTTCGGAATTCGAACCATGTATGGCCTGCATTAGTCTATTCATTCACAGGAAACTGTTTTTAAATTGTGACAGTGGGTGTGGGCAGAAGATCACCTGCATGCTATCACAGGGAGGGAGGGGGGGGATTGGGGGTGCCATTTTTTATGATGCTTGTGCAACTGTTATCAAACACATATTTTCAGGAAAAAATTATAATAAAATGAATTTTAGTGCAAACACAAACAATATAATACCCGTTTGTTTTTTGTTTGAGTAACAAGATTTCGAATATGTCAGATCTTAAAATTGTCCGCACCCTGATATCGCGAAAAACTATGGTACCCGAAAATCTGCAACATTTTAAAAGCCTTTACAGCTCATCCGTTAAGAGTTAACCAGGCATTATGGCCCTAGAATTCTTGCTCTTCGACGTTAGCGGTGATTTCTCAAATGTGCAGTGCAATCTTGGTTTACATACACATGCGCACCCTGTACGTGTGTTCACATTCGCGGGTGTGTGCAGGGCAACGGTGGTTACGGTTAATTTTTTTATTGCAATACATTTTATTACAATTGTATTTTTTTTACTCCTTTTTTTTCTTTTCCTTAACTTTGTTGCTATCACAAGAGGGTTACCAAGTCTCCATGTGACAGCATTTTGCAGGTAACAGGTACTCTTTATGAAGACATCAGGAGTCTATTAGACCCCCCCAATGTTTCCCCTGCCCTTCAAAGCAGCTAACAAAGATCAGATAAAGCTTGACTAGCTGCTTCCTTGGCTGTATCAGCCAGTGAATGACAGGAAAATTGGAGTGCTCAAAGCTGAGCGCTTCAGGCTTCATTCAGTGCAGAGGAAATTGTGTAACACTCGCCATCCTGAAATTGTGATCCCAGGAAGAGAAGGAGAGCCTGATAACCAGAGTGGGAAGGGGGGGGGGGGTAACGACTGGAGGAACCACACTGCCCACACTGTAAAAGTGAAATACAACTGTCCGGATCACTTTTGCTTTACAAGTTCACGGATGTTACTGCAGCCATGAGCTTTTAATTAATCCTTCACTCTCTTGAGGTACTAGGTAAGTCCAGAGAGCTGAAATAGTTAAATAATATGCTTTGAGAATGCCTTAAACCCACACATGAAATTTTGGCACAGTATGATGTACTCCACTTAACCCCCTTTTTTTGCAGTAACTGTATGCCCGTGAAAGGCTATATCCACACTCACAGGTGATCCATGCATCTCATTGCAGGTAGTCCTATTGCTGTCAATCGTACACAGCCGCTGAACCAAAGTGACATCCGTGTTGGTGCACATGCATTTGGGGCTGTGCACCGCATCCCCGTAAACATGACCCTCCAAGGGTGTACAATTATGTATGCCCCATGTGAACGAAGCCTTAGACACAAACTGACCACGCTAGGACAGATTTGCTTCAGTGCTCAATGTGGTCACTGTAAAAAGTAAATGAGAGGGACTTTCAAGATCACCAGGTATTTGTGTCCAAAGGCGTAAATTGAAACACAACAAGCTACTTTTTGTGACGCTAACAAACGTTACTAGACATACAGTATATAAGCAAATTTTAGGCATACCATACACTCTCAGACCCTATTCACACTAGCATAAGAAACGGGAGATTGAGATGCATTCTTGCTGCTCCTCGAACATCTCCTAAAGCAGTCTACAATTAATAATACAGACAGTGGACAGAGCTGTTCACACTTCAGAAACATGTCCCTTTTTTTTCTTTTTTAATTTTTATTTTTTGCAAGGGTGAACTTAGCCTGAGTTAACTGAACAATTTACAACACCTAATAAATGACTTATAAGTGATGTATGTAGTATGATGTATTTTTTAAAAGGTGTTTAACCACTTGAGCTCTGGAAGGTTTTACCCCGTTCTATCCAGGCCACATTTTCCTATTATGGCTAAATGCTTAGCACTTCCGCCTGGCAGCACTAGGGTCGTTGGTTCAAATCCCAACCATGGCACCAGTTGCCTGGAGCTTGTATGCTCTCCCTGTACCTGTGTGGACTTTCTCTGGGTACTCCAGTTTCCTCCCACACACCAAAGACATGTTGGTACGTTAATTGGATCCTGTATGAATTGGTCCTGTCTAGTGTTTGCATGAATGTAAGTTAGGGACCTTAAATTGTACACCCCTTGAGGGTTAGGGACTGAAGTGAATGTACAATATATATGTAAAGCGCTGCGTAAATTGACATATATAATAATAATTTTTTTTTTTACTTTCTCCTATAAAACATATCCAATAAACAAAATGTAAAAAATCGAATTTCTTCATAAATTTAGGCCAAAATGTATCCTGCTACATGTCTTTGGTAAAAAGAAAAAATCCCAATAAGTGTATATTGATTAGTTTGCGTGAATGTTAAAGTGGCTACAAACTATGGTTTATATATTGGAATCAGGGGGCGGACTGACAACTCATGGGGCCCCCGGGCAATAGGGGATCATGGGGCCCCTGTGTCCTCGCCCACACTCAAACCACACCCAAAAAACGCCTATGAAAGGTACCAGGGACATCTCATGGGGCCCCCTACTGACCCTGGGCAGTGCCCAAGTTCCCAAATGGTCAGTCCACCCGATTGGAATTTTTTTTTTTTTTCAAACTACTAATGGAGGAGATCAGTGACTTATAATGGGACTGTGATAGCGCGGCAAGCAATCTATCACTGATGCTGGGGGGGACTAACTGCCACTGACTTCACCAGTGACAGTAATACAGTGAAAATAGTATACACTGTCACTGTACTGACACTGGCTGGGGAGGGGTTAACATCTAGGGTGATCAAGGGGTTAAATGTGTGCCTAACAATGTGTAATATGTGTATTATGTGCTGCTTTTACTAATAAATCTCTTTTTTTCTCATCCCTGCAGAGAGATCATTCCCTCTGTACAGAGCCCTCCCTGTGTTGATTGTCAACACAGGGCTCTGGTCTATGACTGGACACAGCCGATCAGCAGGTCCGGGTCATGAATTATTGGCTGGGACTTGCTTACAGACTCCGGCTGTATACAATCACGGTGGGTGTCAGCAGAGGAGGCATGCATGTTCCTAAACCAGGAAGCAGGCAGCGACGTACCAGTATGTTGCTGTGCCTGCACGGGCTGCCCATCCGCAGTACATTGAGGGTGAGCTGTCTGGAAGTGGGTAATACACAAAATATTAACACAATCAAAAGCATGGAGTCCAGAGACAGCCAGGCAATTAGCATTTTTAGAGGAAGACAAGCAGTGGCAGCCCCCATGTTTATCTCTTAGCGAAAATGTCTCTTTAATAACATTGCTTAACACCTTCCCGCCCGGCCTATAGCAGATTGATGGCTGGGCGGGACACTTCATATAGTCCTTCATACAGTCCTGTCAAAACGAGCTGCTCACGCGGGCTGCGGGGCCGCACAGCGGCACGATCTGTCACAGGTTGTGTCCAGGGGACACAGCCACTGACAATTCACTACACTTGCCTGTTGCAAGTGTCATGTGACCGCTGTGACCAATCACAGCAGATCACATGACAATTGTATACAATGGATGGCTTCCTGTCATGCCATCCATTGTATACAATTATGTTGTTAGCTGTGACTGGTCAAGACAGTCACATGATACAGACAGGGCCAATCACAGCCCATCTGTATCATGTGATCAGCTTTGCCCAATCACAGCTAATCACAACAAAAGACTGAATGAATCAGTTTCATTCAGTAACAATGATTGCAACTATCAATGAAATACATTGGTATTAACAATCATAATGTGTTAAAAAAAAAGGAAAAAAACAAAACTCCTAATCACTTGCCCAGAGCAGTTCAATGTTACTACGGTAACATTGTATTGCTTTGGTCACAGTGTGCTGAAAAATAAAATAGTAAAAACAAAAATTTATTTTATAAAAAATAAAAAAAATAATAGAAACATTTGGAAAAAAAAATACAAATTCAATTATTATTATTTTCACTAAAGAAATATAGCAGAATACATTTTGACCCAAATTTATGAAAAAAAATTATTTATTTGCAAAATATTATAACAGAAATGAAGAAAAGTGTGTTTTTTTTCAAAAGTTTCAGGTGTTTTTTGTTTTTACTTATCAAAAAATAAAAAAATCAGTGGTGATTAAATACCTCCAAAACAAAGCTCTATATGTGTGAAAAAATGCTAAAAATTTCATATGGGTACAGTGTTGCATGACCGCGCAATTTTCATTCAAAGCGCGACAGCACTGAAAGTTGAAAATTAGCCTGGGCAGGAAGGGGGTATAAGTGCCCGGTATTGAAGTGGTTAAAGCCAGCGGTGTTCCTGTAACTCTGCTGAAAGCACGTTTCTCCAAGCTCATCAGGACGTGCTTCAGGGAGTATGTGCAATGAGGAAACTCACATCTGGACTCTGAATAAATAAAGAAGAAAATTACCACAAGAAAACCACAGGCTGACGTTTCGCAATAACGGTGAAATTCTGTGCTGTAGCGGGCTCTGACCACACACACTCAGATCAAAGTTCAATCAGGTGTGGGATTCCTTCTACATTAAAATCTTTTTTATTGGGACCAATTGATACATATTGGGCTGTATGTGGAATACAGGAATAAAATGTTGTAAAATCTTTATAGTACATCATGTTTCTCTAAAAATGTAAGAATAAGTCTTATCAATTTTCTGATATACTGAGCTTTCCTTATTTTATTTTTTTAATTGCTGTTCTACATAAATGTGATACAAACATTGTTAGTATAATATAAGAACAGAACCATAGAGTTTAGGCTACATTTACACTTGAGGCTCGCTTCACACTGCTGCAACCCCAAAGCCGTGCGACGTTTCATTGCGACTTGCTTGCAACTTTTATGTGACTTTGGCCAATCATAGCAATACAGAGTGTGACACGTTACTGAACTTACAAAAACCCTCTGAACTTGCAAAGATAAGGCAAAGAAATGAATCCCTTGTGCCTTTTGTGATTTTATTTATTTATTTTAAAGTGATCCTAAAAGAAATAATTTAAGAAAAAAAAAAAATAACACACATTACCTGCTCTGTGCAATGGTTTTGCACAGAGTAGCCCCATTCCTTTTATTTTTGGGTCCCCCGGCCGGCGGTCCTGACTCCTCCCCCCACTGCCAAGTGCCTCCCAATAGCAAGCCTCTTGCTATAGGGGGCAATCGAACAGGCTCGCTCCCGGGCTGTGCTCGATGTCCATTAACACTCAGAGCACAGCTCAGCCCCACCCCCTACTCTCTCCTTATCGGTTCATTGGTTGTGATTGACAGCAGCAGGAACCAATGGCTTCTGCTGCTGTGTGAGCCAATAAGGAGTGCAAGAGACCTGGGAAAGCTGCTGCTCTCATGCACATTGTTAGATACACATGGGGCTCAGGTAACTATAAGAGTGGGCTGGGGGGAAAAGCTGGACCCAGAAGGTTGATTACTTTAACCACTTGCCGCCCAGCCACTGTAGAAATACGGTGGCAGGGCGGCACTGGCAGGCAAAACCATGTTTTAAAACGTGTGTTTTGTAAAAAATAGGGGGCGCGCGTGAGGTGCGCGCCGCCGCCGCCCAATCTGTCCCGCCGATCACCGCCACGGATGTCAGTAGCTGGGTCACAGCTGGGTCCTTAGCGGCTGTTTCCTGCAGTAGCTGTGCTGTCTGTCACTTCCTTGTCAGCTCGAGGATGAGCTGATCGAGACAGAAGAGTTTCTCTCTCTCGATCAGCCTTGTCCCGTCCAGCACACACCCCCGCCCCCCCTAGTAAAACACTCCCCTCACTCAGATAACCCTTCTCTGCAAAATAAAGTTAACCCCTTCCTCCCCAGTGCCATTAGTACAGTGTCAGTGTTTTTTTTTTTTGCACTGATCACTGTATTAGTGTTTTTGGGGATGTCAGTGACCCCAAGTCAATACCCCCCAATGTCAGAATGTCCGCCGCAGTCCCGCCATAAGTCGCTGGTCGCTGCCATAAGTCACTGATTGCCGCCATAAGTCGCTGATCGCCGCCATTATTAGTATAAAAAAAACCCTAAAAATCCCAGTATCTTTCCCGCCATTTGTAAACGCTATAACTTTCACATAAACCAATTAATTTACACATATTGTTTTTTTTTTTTTTTAGCAAAGACATGTCGCAGAATGCATTTTGGCAAAAATGTATGACTAAATTTGATTTTTGCATTTTTTTTTTACTGGACATGTTTTATAGCAAAAAGTCCAAAATATTGTTTTTTTTCCTCAAAATTGTCAGCCTTTTTTTTTATAGCACAAAAAATAAAAACCGCACAGGCGATCAAATACCACCAAAAGAAAGCTCAATTTGTGGGGAAAAAAGGATGTAAATTTCATTTATGTACTGTATTGCATGACCGCGCAATTGCCCGTTAAACTAGCGCAGCGCTGTATAGCAGAAATATGGCGTAAGTTGCAGTATTTATACCATAGCTTGTAGACGCTATAACTTCCACACAAAGCAATCAATATACACTTATTGGGATTTTTGTTTTTTTGTTTTGTTTTTGTTATTGTTTTTCTTCAAAATTTTTGGCCTTTTTTTGTTTTTTTTTTATAGCGTGAAAAATAAAAAAGCGCACAGATGATCAAATACCACCGAAAGAAAGCTCTAAAAAAGGACGTAAATTTTGTTTGGGTGCAGCATTGCATGACCGCGCAATTATCAGTTGAATTAGTGCAGCGCCGAGTAGCAAAAAGAGGCCTGGTCATTAAGGGGGGTAAATCCTCTGGAGCCCAAGTGGTTAAAGGATAAGTTCACCTTTGGAACACGTTACACGTTCAACCCATTTTTAGGGTAGAACATGTAATATGTTCCCATAGCCGCAACCGCGCCCGCCACCCCCCTCCCTCTGACAGATGGTACGGGGAGAAGTCTCCCCGTACTGTCAGATTTGAAAACAGTGCGGCCGTGCGGGGCTCTGCCGAGTTCTGTGAATGGGTGCCTACAAGTCCCTACAGCCTTAGCTGCTGTGGGCTTTTTGTTTTTAATTAACTACCATTGAGCTGTGGAGCATTGTGGTAGTTCATTGAAGCTTTCTATCAGAATATCTCCTTATTAGTACATCCCACAAGCAGATAATCTGACAGGTCTGCAGGAGACCTGCATGGCATCAGCGATCTACTGATCACTGGTGCAATGCTTTCCAGGATCCTTTGGACAAAATTAATACATTAACTGCAAAAAAATGTGCATTTATTATTTTTGTCGAAAAGGTGAACTTATCCTTTAATGCATAGAATGCATTAAGGTAAAAAACCTCGAGCCTTTAGAACCACTTTAACATCACAATCTACGGCACTCATGTCACAAGAAAGATGAAGAAAAGTAGTTCAGGAACAATGTTTTTGTTGCTGCGACTTGAGTTGCAGAAATTAGAACAGCACCCATTGAAATTAATGTGTATTGACTTGCAGTGTGACTCTGTCGCATGTTGCAGCATGTCGCATGAGAAGTCACAGTGGTGTGAACCAGGGCGTCGGTGGCTATGGTAGTTTTTTTGCATGTTAGGCCTGAGTGTTTCTCTTTTAGGCAACAGATAGCTAGTTACTAGGAGGAGATGGTTGTTACGGACAAAATTATGGGCATTTTCTTAGGC